GCTACTGGATTTACTTATTAGTCTTTTTCCTGCTTCACAAAGGTAGGCAGCAGCTTGAAAAAGCCATGATGTCAATTACTTTACATCCAAGTAGTTTGCAGTTCTTCATATATACACACACACATCAATTTCAAACAGATGGTATCGGTATGGTATTGTCAGGGACCTGAAACCCTGGACCCAATATTCAACAGACAGATCTGGATGATTGCCAAAAGACTTTATTTTAAAACGGTGTGCGTCAGCAGGAGCTGATAAGCCGGATCCTTTTATGGAAACAGAAACCCAGGTCAGTGACTAAGAATAAATGACAAGAAACAGCCGAGAGCTATAGTCACTGACCTGGTTCACAGTTCAGTCCGATCCCTGAGGGATGAGAGGAATTCGTGAAGGTGATTGTCCTCCGCTTGCGGCCGGCGCAGCCCCCGAAGCTCTGTGAGGGGAGCAGCGCTGATGTCAAGCGACGCCGGGGAGCAGCTGTGTCCAGTAAGGGAGATCCAAGCAGAGGTCATAGCGGGTCCAAGTTTGTTAACCAGATGATCAGAGAGCCGATGAGGTGCCGATGAGGGAATCCAAGCCTGGTAGGGAAAACAGTCCAGGTTCGGTAAGCCAGTTGCTTCCAATAAACAGTCCGGAGCTGGTCAGACCAACAGAGCAGACAGGGGCAAAGCAAAACTCGGGATCCACAAGACAGAAACAGGTCACTAACAGCATAATCAGAATGATTGTCTAACGCTAGAGTTACTCACACTAAACGGCTAGAATAATATGGCACTGGTGGCTTGAAAACAAACAGTATATATAGGGGCTGAAACCAGGTGGAAAGGATAAACAATAATGAGAAAACAGGCAGAGTAAAACAGGTGGGTGGAATAAGCAATCAAGCCAGCCACCAGTGACCATGACAGGTATCAGTATCGGCCAATACTGCACAGCCATGGATCGGGTATCGGTATTAGGGCCAAAAAATGGCATTGGCACAACACTAATTATAATGTGCTTTTGTGGTGCGATTTTAAAATTCATTCTGAATTTACTCATCTTTCCTTCCCCAAAGGTCACGACTCATCTATAATGGTAAATATCTTACAATATATATAATCTAAGTATCTTTAATTAGGCTTTACAATATATTATAAAATATTCTACACATTAACCTTTTATCACTTTTGTTGCAGATAACTTCATAGGAATGAATAGTCGTCCCAGTAGAGAACTGGTAACTTTTTGATAAATCTGTGCATTGAGCACTTTGAAGTGAGATGGCATAGAGTGTGCATTCATTGAAGTCTAAATTTTCTTCTCTCTTTTAAACTCTACCATAACGAAGTTACCTGTTAGTGATGAAGATGGCTACCATATGATCACATCCATCCCTCCAGCTGATTCTGCAACCGGTGAGCTGGTTGTTTTTTGTCTTGTGACATTAGGTTAAGAGTTCCTTTGTGGGGAAATGCATAGGTTTGTTTCCTATTTTACTGCTTCTTATTAGCTTGTATTTATTTGAGTTTGTAATTACAATATTGACATTTAATAAAAAAGCATCTATAAATCATTTTGCTTCTGAAATAATTAAACTATTTTAGCTACTTTTTAAACTTAGAAACATAATGAGTATATAAGGTGCTATAAATAAAATACTTGGTTTATGCTTTTCTAGAGCCCATTGAGGGGAACACACAGGACTCTCCAAATGAGAACGTAAGTTAGATGGAATGATATTCAACTCAGCATATTCACTATAAACAGAAATATACCATTCCAAAAAAGCTTTTGTTATTGTTTCTTTAACTAGACTGATGTCTACCACGTGTATTCTACCATCACCGATGAACCAGCTGGATCTACCGTAGAGAGTCCGATGTACTGCTCTTTGCAGGCTCACTGAAAAGCTGCTTTTTGTGAAGCAGAAAAGCTCAACTATGCATCAATAATATCAGATATATAACAAATTATAGAGGGTGTTTTTACAATATGAAATATTTCAGTTCAGCTCCTATCAACTTAAACTTTAATTTTAATGTCCCCTGAGGGACATTTAATTTGCAGAGGATAAAAATATAAAAAGAAAAATAAGTAAATAAATAACATGGAAATTAAATCGAATAACTTCACAAACACCACATAAACAAGCAACAACAAAGACAACTGGAGGCAGGACCATTATTAAACATCACAACTGTTCACTTTCAAAATTCAAGTTTATTTGTAGGATTTCTTTGCTTAAAAATTAGTATTTCATCCTGCTGGATTGAGCTTTTGGCACTCAGAATCTTCTGATTGAGGCAAGGAGCCAAACGTCAGGGTGGAGAGGATGATCAGAAGTCTGTATGATGGCTGAGCCTTAGAGTTTACCCTCCCATAGAAAGTTTTACTACTTTTACAACCTTTGTAATATTGTGTAATTGGTAGATAGAAAACAATTACTGTACACTACTGTACCAAGTGATGAGGGCAAAGGTCAGGGAAGATTTAACCTTTGGGGAGATAGAAAAGTTTGCAAATCCTGAATTTGTTCAGCACCCAGAGAATGTTCAGTCGCTGCAGAACTTTTTTGCACACAGCAAATGTATTTTCAGTAAAATCCAGGTTACTGTCTAAGAAGACACCAACGTAAATAAAACAACTGACATGCTCCACCAACTTTTCCATAATCAAAGTGAAAGTAGTGGGTTGGTTTCTTTCTGAAATAAAAACACACATCCTTGTTTTGTGTCTAGTTTAATTTTAAGAAAGATTTTTTCACACCAATAAATAAAATCATCCACCACTCAGCCCCAGGGCTGAATCCACTCCCTGTAGTAAGCTCAGTATGACTGAGTCATCAGCAAATTTCATAATATATCTTTCTGAATGCAAGATTCTACAGTGATCAGTGTACAGGATGTATAACATTTGTGAAAGGACAAAACCCTGTGGGAAACCAGTGCAGGATAGGGATAGAGAACTCTTGATAGGACATCAGATAGAGAACTATTGACTCTGAAGTTGTGTGATCTGTTTAAAAAAATAAAAAAATATTAAGATTCAGACAACAATATTAGGACATTACTTAAAAATTACAAATAATTTAAATGCTGAAATATGGGTATGGATGGTATTAAAGACCCAAATGAAAATAAAACAGTAAATGTGTGTGGAAGGTTGTGCCTTCAAGGTGTGTAAAGTTAAAGTTAAGACGTCATTCCCCACTAGGGGCGCTACACCTGTAACTGTCTGTATTATTCTTCTTCCAAACATCGAAACTAACTGTATACTAGGAGCAAAGTGTTAACATACTAGTCTAATAATAAAGTTAAGAAAATAGAATTGGTTTTACATCTGGCTTCTTCTTTCAGCCTGCACCAATGAACAAACTTCTTTTTATGATCGATTCATGTTTTTCTCCTTTTAGACTCCTCAGAAGGTTTAAACATTTTCCTTCCCTCAGCTATGACCAGCAGTCGAGCAGGAGGAAAAATACTAGCGCAAAAGCCTCAGCTCCATGACTATATAAGAACCTGTGGCTGTAAAGAGATATGTTCTTCTAGGTCGCATGACCTGGCCAATTATGGTCTGTCTTTGGCCGGGTCCTAGCATTGATAATGTCAAGTACTTTATAATAGCCTCAGGAATCATTTAAAATAACTCATATGTGTCAACTCTTTTGGTCACAAAGTCCACGGTGTGCCTTTAAGATTTTGCCAAGTTGCCTGAAATAGATTTAGATACAGGTTTTAACGAGGCCACATCTAAATATTTTAGGTGTCAGATTTATATTTACTGAT